GGCTCCTCCGTGCTTTCGCGTGACGCGCTGTTGCCCCGGCCGCCGCCGCCTCCCCCCGGGGGTGCTGCGCCGCCAGCTGCTCCCGCCGCCGCCCGAGAGGGCCGCCTGCCGCCCGGCCTTAGCGCGTCCCCACAGCCCTCCAGCGTCGCAGCCAGGCGGCCGCAGGAACCCCGGTGAGGGACAGGGGCTGCTCCCTGCTGGGCGGCTTCGACCGCTCTCGGAAGAAGGGGAGCGGGCCTAGGACCCCAGGTGTGGACGACTGGCCCTGGCAGTTGGATGGGGCAGGGACTGTGGGCCCCCCCCCTAGACGGGAGGGGAGAACCTGCTCTCCCAGGCGCACGTGCCAATTGAGGCGCCTCAAGGAGATACTGGCAGACCTTCCGGAAGGAGAAGGGACACTGGTTTCTGTCATATTGGGGCCTCTTCTGGATACCATTGCATTGGCGATGTCTGCCGCCCTTGCGCGTCCCCACCTCCAGCACTCCGCCATGAGACCTGTTTAGAGAAACCTCCTCTTGAAAACACAATGAAAACTACACACTGGAAAGCCCCCCCACCCCACACAGCAGGCGAGCTGGGCTGCCTGCCTTCATCTGCCCAGGAACCAAACCATTCTCACTTGGGTGACCATTTTACGCTTAAAGACAATCGAAAGAAAGCGTTTGCGGTTTCAAAGACGCAATCAAACTGATGCCCAGGGAACAGAATGAGCCTCCCCCTCCTGTCCCTGCCCCGTCGCTGTTTTCCTTCTCATTTTTCGCCTGCTCTTCCTCCTTCTTTCTCCTACTGCTCCTCTAGCCACTTCCACCACTTTCCCCTGGAGAAAGAGCATCCTGCAAGGCTGGCTGGGCAGCGGCGGGGCTGGGGTGTAGGGCAGTGCAGAGCAGCTGTGTGCCCCAGTCGGTCCTATGCTGCTGCCAGCGGGACAAAGCGAGACCCAACTGGATGAGGGGAGGGGGAGAAAGAGGGACCCTGAGCGTTCACTAAACCGAAGACATCTGGAGCTTTCTGTTCAGGATGTGGGTTTAGCTCCTGGTCTCAGGGCCATGGAGACAATGCTAAGGCAAACAGGTGGCCTGGCCCCCTTTGGAAACAACTATTTACAGAGCCCGTGTGATTTCCACAGCTTTAGAAATTGTGAAAACATGTAATGGAAGCGTTTGGAAAACTCCTTATTTTTATTTAAAGTTTTAAATGACCTAACAAATCTTTAGAAACAGGTCTGTGGCTTCCAGGTCAGCTCCTCCTTTCATGGTCTGGGCCTTGTGTTCGGGTCGTTTGTGGAAAATAATAAATATGTATAACATGGGAGGAGATGGAAACTGATTCTCGCTTTGTTTCAAACATTTCCTGCAGATGATTTTTCAATTCATTTTACAATTTAACCGGCGTTATTTTATGGTATTAGACCTAGGAAAAGCAGGTAGTTAAAGCAACATCGCACTTGGGTTTTGAGTTGGAGCAGCGTATGAACGGGTGGATTTTCCGTTTTTGCTTCATAGCCTGGGACGGCGGGAATTCGGAGTGCCGCTGGCTGACGCTGAAGGAGAACGTGCCCGGCAACGCAGTGTGGCCCGCAGGGGGTCGCACAGGACCGCGGCCCAGTCTCCTCTCCCCGCAAAGCTGCGGACTCAGATGAGGCCTTTTTCCGTGGCTCTTCCAAAAAAAAAAAAACGTTGCTTTGGATGAGTCTTCCCTGCCCCCACCTTCCCTGCCCTTCGCCTCCCCCTCCCTGAGACCGGGAGCCAGGAGTGTCTTGTGTTGGGGGCAGAGGTGCCCTGACCCGGTGGGCTTCCAGCTCCTGGGGCCGCCGCGCTCCTCCCCGCGGCTCTCCGAGGGGCCCCTCCAGAGCGCTCCCGCGGTTCGAGTCCGGGGCTTACCTCAGGCGTTTTGCTTTCTTGTCCTTTCACGGAGAGAGGCGAAGGCGTTTTTTGTTGCTGCTGCCGTTGTTTGCTTTGTTTCGTTTTGCTCTTTTAGGGAGAAAAATCGAGTCAGAACGCCCCTCTGAAGAAAAGGGCGTTCAGGAAGGGAGGCCTCCTCCTGCGTGCCCGCCGGCCCTTTCTCTCGGCTGCAGCACCCTCGCCTGGGCTCTGGAGTCCGGCAAACCTGCGTTCGAGCCCCGGCTCCCTCAAATTCTGGCCCAGTACTCCGATAAAACTATTCGAGCTCTCTGTGCCTCAGTTTCCTCACCTGTAAAGTGGAGGCAGGGAGATTACCTCGTGGAACTGCGATGAGGTTTAAACCAAAGAGCGCCTGTGAAGCGCGTGACTCAAGTGTGCAGAAAGTAGCCACCCTCCGCGGATGGCAGGTGTGGTTTTGTGGGCGCCATCGTCACTTCCGGAAGCAGTCAGAGAGCTGTGCCCTGGAGCTCCGGGCTGTCCCACCAGGCCGCGGCCGCCCCTCCGCCCCGGCCAATCCGCGCGCCGTCGCTGTGCGTCCGGTCCCTGCTCACGTGCCCGCCGACGTGTTCCACGACGCCCTCCCTCATGAATAAACTCTTCTGCGCTCTCGCAGCCGCTTTCACCCGACACGTGAGACTCGCTGGAGCTCCACCGCCCAGCCAGAGGCGGCGCTGACACTTGTCCTCGTGCGCCGAGCGGACGTTCGGGGGCCCCGGACCGAAGCCGCCGCCCGCTCCGAGGCTCCCGTTCCCATCTGGCGCCGCGCGTTGGCCGGGCCGCGAGGTCAGGGGAAGAGGCGCAGGCCGCC